CTTTAGTATCTCAGTTTCTTAGATTTCAAGAGACCCGACATTCGTGATGTAATGCGTATTACATTTACACTGAGCATAAATCTATCGTTACCGGCCACATCAGAAACGCTTTCCAATTTAATTTTCAACATCCATTGAATATGTTACTGAAACTAAGAAATGAAAGTATTAAATGAAACAGGAGTATGCTTTATATGCGTTGTCACCCTGAATGTCCCACAGTACACAGTGCTTATCTCCCCATGAACAACATGTCCCACAGTGCACAGTGCTTATCTCACCATGAACAACATATCCCAAAGTACACAGTGCTTATCTCCACATGAACAACATGTCCCAAAGTACGCAGTGCTTATCTCCCCATGAACAACATGTCCCAAAGTACACAGTGCTTATCTCCCCATGAACAACATGTCCCAAAGTACACAGTGCTTATCTCCCCATAAACAACATATCCCAAAGTACACAGTGCTTATCTCCCCATGAACAACATGTCCCACAGTACACAGTGCTTATCTCCCATGAACAACATATCCCAAAGTACACAGTGCTTATCTCCCCATAAACAACATATCCCACTGTACACAGTGCTTATCTCCCCATGAACAACATGTCCAACAGTACACAGTGCTTATCTCCCATGAACAACATGTCCCACAGTACACAGTGCTTATCTCCCCATGAACAACATGTCCCACTGTACACAGTGCTTATCTCCCCATGAACAACATGTCCTACTGTACACAGTGCTTATCTCCCTATGAACAACATGTCCTATAGTACTGGCTGCACTATCTGACTGCACCAGTTGACTACATTGTGTCACTACATGTTGTGACCAAGTTAAGGCAGCGTGGTGCACCTCCAGCAGTCTGCTTGACTTGATAACTTGCTGTACTGAGATATATCTGCATGATCAGCACAGCATTCCCCTAGGTGGACATCTGTACAAGTGAAGGAACACACGTCGTATAGTATAAGGAACTACCCCGTCAACGACTGACAGAAAAGGGAAATTGAAGGGAGAGTAAAAACAGTTTCATCGACAGCATTAAGTTGAAAAATGTCTGTTTTTTTCTAAGTGAGTGAATACAGAAAAAACAACCTGGTATGAATTATATATTTGATGTCTGTTTATTGGGATCGATATCACGTGGAGCCCCGTGCCCCTGGTGTACATAGATGGCCACTTTGATCCGTGTGGATAGTCTGCAAGGAGACGGACACAAAGAAAACCCAACTCAGTGATAGCCGCACCGTGTTGAGAAGTGCAGTGATGTGGTTTAATTCAACGATGCAATAGCTTCTGGTTTCATGAACGTAACGCAGGTCAGTTGTTAAGTCAGCATACCTTTAGTGGATCTTGCTTCAGTTTTTGCTGACGGAGTAATTCCTTCTGACTGGATGCAGGACGGATTCTGTGGGGCCCCGTCGTCCTATGGCTGGTGACTGGTCCAATGTATCATTGACGGTACAGTTGCAGTCGCAGCAGCGGACATTACACGCCGAGCGGCGTAAAACTATAGTCACACATAATTAGAGAAGGAAGTCTGAACACCACTGACCCGGTTCAGTCCCCTACAATAGTAAAGTAACAACCTCCCAGGACTCCCTCGCGGTGATGCTTGAATATTGCTCCAAGCTGCCAATAGCCACTCACTCACTCACCCAATCTCAAGACACCAGGCAGTCACTTGATTTATTGATTAAGCTTATGTTAGACAAGTTTACAATGTTAATGAAATGTAATATGAAATAGGATTTCGACATCTAAATGGCGTGATTTGATAGATCCCAGCAGATCCTAACGTCTGATTGAACGGGCTATATCATATCTACTTTTGCCAAACTTCGATCGTCAGTAATATTTGAAAGTAGCATAGAAAATATAAGTTTTTAGAACAGGAAATAGCTGCCATTACTGCTGCTAAAGTAGACCGCGTTGTTGTACCTGCTGCTGGCGAGACTAGGAGACGCAGTCATTACGGTTGGTTACAACGCCGTTCTATATCCATGCTCCTTCAAGGGAATCATGTCCAAATTGCCCGCTCGGACCATCCGGAGGCCAATAAACAGAACATTGTCTGGAGGCTGACTCACGTCCCTCCGTTCCATTGGCTGGTATCCGCCAACAATACACGGCTAGCTTTGGTACACAAGTGGCGGGGGGTAGCTTAGTGGTTAAAGCGCTCGCTCGTCACGCCGAAAGCCTGGCTTCGAGTTTCCTGGTTGTCCTACGGTGGTCGAAATAACGCGGTGGAAAACAATACACTCCTACCGGGTACCCTGGAACACAGGGCGACCTATACCTGTTGTTGCAAGATATCCCTGAGTGTCTAGATGACTTATACCTGTTGATGTAAGATATCACTGAGTGTCGGGATGACCTATACCTGTTGATGGAAGATATCACTGTATGTAGAGATGACCTATACCTGTTGCTGTAAGATATCACTGAGTGTCGAGATGACCTATACTTGTTGATGTAAGATATCACTGAGTGTCGAGATGACCTATACCTGTTGATGTAAGATATCACTGTATGGAGAGATGACCTATCCTGTTGATGTAAGATATCACTGTTTGTAGAGATGACTTATACCTGTTGATGTAAGATATCACTGTACGTAGAGATGACCTATCCTGTTGATGTAAGATATCACTGTTTGTAGAGATGACATATACCTGTTGATGTAAGATATCACTGAGTGTCGAGTTGACTTATACCTGTTGATGTAAGATATCACTGAGTGTCGAGTTGACTTATACCTGTTGATGTAAGTTATCACTGTATGTAGAGATGACCTATACCTGATGATGAAAGATATCACTGTATGTAGAGATGACCTATACCTGTTGATGTAAGTTATCACTGAGTGTGGAGATGACCTATACCTGTTGATGTAAGATATCACTGTATGTAGAGATGACCTGTTGATGTAAGATATCATTGAGCATCGACATGACCTATACCTGTTGAGGTAAGATATCACTGAGTGTCGAGATGACCTTTACCTGTTCATATAACCTAGTATCTAGATGACCTATACCTGTTGATGTAAGATATCACTGAGTGTCGAGATGACTTATACCTGTTGATGTAATATATCACTGTGTGTTGAGATGACCTGTTGATGTAAGTTATCACTGAGCATCGAGATGACCTATACCTGTTGATGAAAGATATCACTGCGTGTCGAGATGACCTATTCTGTTGATGTGAGATATCACTGTGTGTAGAGATGACCTATACCTGTTGCTGTAAGATATCACTGAGTGTCGAGATGACATATACTTGTTGATGTAAGATATCACTGAGTGTCGAGATGACTTATACCTGTTGATGTAATATATCACTGTGTGTTGAGATGACCTGTTGATGTAAGATATCACTGAGCATCGAGATGACCTATACCTGTTGATGAAAGATATCACTGCGTGTCGAGATGACCTATTCTGTTGATGTGAGATATCACTGTATGTAGAGATGACCTATACCTGTTGATGTAAGATATCACTGAGTGTCGAGTTGACTTATGCCTGTTGATGTAAGACATCACCGCGTGTCGAGATGACTTATACCTTTGTATGTAAGATATCACTGAGTGTTGAGGTGACCTATACCTTTTGATATCACTGAGCGTCTAGATGACCTAAACCTGTTGATGTGAGATATCATTGAGTGTAGAGATGACCTATACCTGTTGATGTAAGATATATCTGAGTGTTGAGATGACCTACACCTGTTGATATCACCTAGTGTCTAGATGACCTATACCTGTTGAGGTAAGATATCATTGAGTGTAGAGATGACCTATACCTCTTGATGTAAGATATATCTGAGTGTTGAGATGACCTATACCTGTTGATATCACCTAGTGTCTAGATGACCTATACCTGTTGAGGTAAGATATTACTGTATGTAGAGATGACGTATACCTGTTGATGTGAGATATCACTGAGTGTCGAGATGACCTATACCTGTTGATGTGAGATATCACTGAGTGTCGAGACGACCTATACCTGTTGATGTGAGATATATCACTGAATGCTGAGATGACATATACCTGTTGGTGTGATATATCACTGAGTGTTGAGATGACATATACCTGTTGATGTGAGATATCACTGAGTGTTGAGATGACATATACCTGTTGATGTAATATAACACTGAATGTTGAGATGACAGTCGGTCAGTGGAGATATATCACTGAGTGTCGAGATGACATATACCTGTTGGTGTGATATATCACTGAGTGTTGAGATGACATATACCTGTTGATGTGAGATATCACTGAGTGTTGAGATGATGTACCTTGTTGAGGTGTGATACATGTTGAATGTATGTACTCTGAGATATCCTGTTGAGCTTATATTACTTCCTAATAATAAGATGATATACCAATGTTGGAGTGCGATATCACTGTTAAGAGGAGGTACCATGTTGGATTTGATACCCTGTTGAAATGTAAAACTGTTGAGATGAGATATCCCGGTTGTTGAAATGTAAAACTGTTGAGATGAGATATCCCGGTTGTTGAAATGTAAAACTGTTGAGATGAGATATCCCAGTTGTTGAAATGTAAAACTGTTAACATGAGATATCCCGGTTGTTGAAATGTAAAACTGTTGAGATGAGATATCCCGGTTGTTGAAATGTAAAACTGTTGAGATGACATATCCCGGTTGTTGAAATGTAAAACTGTTGAGATGAGATATCCCGGTTGTTGAAATGTAAAACTGTTGAGATGAGATATCCCGGTTGTTGAAATGTAAAACTGTTGAGATGAGATATCCCTGTTAAATCTATGCACCCGCGTTATGATGGGGTATCGTTGATGTACTGCTGTGTCCATTAGCATGTGTGCCGGGTGTCACTGTAGGACAATCCTCATCTCAACACCATAAACACACAAACATTGATGTGTGCTACAGTGCTCCAACTGTTCTTGTGATCTCTTCTCGCCGTATTCTCACCCAAGCTGTTTGTTCTGTTCCAGTACTGTGCCCAGACAGAAGTGAGCAACAAACAGAAGTACCCGACCTTCGCCAGGACCAAGCCTACAGATTCCCAGATCTCCAAGAGTCTTGTGTCTATCCTGAAGCTGTTCAACTGGAACAAAGTGACTTTCCTCCACAGTAACAGGACGTCGTACGTCGATACTGCGGATACCATATGCAAGGTAGCAGTTCATGGTGTACATATTCCCAGTGGTATATTGAACATGCACTCACCTTGGGATCGACCACAACTGGAGCGGATGATCGATGTGGAGCAGATTGATGGTGTGGAGCGGATGTGAAGTGGATGGTGTGGAGTTCATTGGTGGTGTGGAGCGGATGTGGAGTGGATGGGTGGTGTGCAACTGTTTGGTGGTGTTGAATTGACGGGTGGTGTTGTGTGCTGTGGATGGGTGGTGTCGAATTGACGGGTCGTGTGGAATGGAAGGGTGGGTGGTGTTGAGTGGAGTGGATGGATGGGTGGTATTGAGTGGAGTGGATGTGTGGTGCCGAACAGATGGGTGTTGATGAGTGGAGAGGTGTAGTAAAACAGTAACCGTTCGGCAAACACAAAGACATCGCCTTTTTGGAAATTAGTTTCTTATTTATCAAACATATATCAAATAATGGCCCATTTTGGTTTCCTGGCCTGTTAGTGCGCCCAAGGAAGAATTGTTCTGCTGGGAGAATGTAGGTCTACCGATCACTTAAGAGATAGGGTTCCTCTGCTCACATATCTGTTTGCCGTGCGCGGGCTTCCAGATCGTGTCTTAGCACAGCCGTGATGAAGCGACACTATTAGGCCTAATGCGAAAGGTTCATGTTTGGACGGCAAAAACAACAGATACGGTGGTTTAGAAATAATTTGATTTAGTCACTGGGGGCCCATCTCGCTCATACTTGACTAACAGTCACTCATGCCATTCTCCACGGTAAATGACACTGTAATTGTCCATTAGAGCAAACTATTGCTGAAAGTGTGTTGACGGATCAACGTATAACGTCTTTGTCACGGCAGAGGGGAAGTTGCAGCAGAAGGCGTTCTGGCCACACCAGGAGTAGCCCCCCACCCACCCGAGATAATGGTGTTAGCGATATATATAGAGAATGAGAGGGAAGGGTAATAATGCGGTCCCTTATACCACTCGTTAAAGCTATTGGCGTGTAACGTGGCGGGTTGTGATCCACGAACCTCTACATGGTAACGAGCTGCATCAGTACTATTATGGTTCCATTATCGACACTGGCATTTGGGGAATAATCTATTTCAGATTATAAATTCCGTATTATTCAGTTTAGGTGACGGAGACAACTATTTTTGTAACACGATATTAATGTTGTTTCACTCCTCTGTTCTGACATGGGGTTTTCACGGCACAGACGCGACTTGTAGGACATCGCTGAACTTCCCGTTAACCAGTGAACTGGTGCTGACACAAAAGGTGATGTCGTCACGTGACACAGTCGTGAAGTCGTGCTACACAGAGAACTAAACATATTTGTGGAATGCGATTCAGAACATTAATTTACAAGCACATTACATGACATTGTTTTGGTCAGTCGCTGTAGGGTATCATACAGCGCTAGAGGCTGACGCCCCGTTCCAAACCCAAATTCACATCATACATTTGAGGGACAAACAAGTCGCTGTCACCACAAGTCAGATGAAGCTGTTCCTGGAGGTGACGTCACCGACGGATGTTGCTGACGGACAGGGAGCTACAGGAACGTTCACCTGAACCTCCTGGCGTCAGCTTACAACCTCTAGCGTGATAACTGTACATCTCGCGTAATAACAGTACATCTCGCGTAATAACTGTACATCTCGCGTAATCTTTCTACATCTACTGTGACCATGTCGTATCACACTGCCTTCAATATCAGTGACACCATTTCGTCTGAATAAAGAAAATTAATGCAAATTGTCTTAAAATATTATATCTATGCGTAAACGAAGAAGGTGCACGCTCCCGAATGCACATGTGTCATTTTGAATTCTGTCAGTACCGATCCGGGACGGAAGGGTTGGCGCTGGCGAGTCGAGGATGGCGCCGCAATTCCTTGTGCAGTACTGCCAGCTTAAGGCGTATCAAACACCTGTGATCGCTGGTTCTAATCCAACATTCACTTGATCTCATTTCTTGGTTTGTTTGCACCAACTGCATGTTCCTGAACTGTATCAGTCTATTACATCGGGCTTCCCTGTCGCATAGACGCCGTGATGTCACTCAACCTGTATCAGCCCATTACATCGGGCTTCCCTGTCGCATAGACGCCGTGATGTCACTCTAACTGTATCAGCCCATTACATCGGGCTTCCCTGTCGCATAGACGCCGTGATGTCACTCAAACTGTATCAGCCCATTTCATCGGGCTTCCCTGTCGCATAAACGTCGTGATGTCACTCAAACTGTATCAGCCCATTACATCGGGCTTCCCTGTCGCATAGACGCCGTGATGTCACTCAACCTGTATCAGCCCATTACATCGGGCTTCCCTGTCGCATAGACGCCGTGATGTCACTCTAACTGTATCAGCCCATTACATCGGGCTTCCCTGTCGCATAGACGCCGTGATGTCACTCAAACTGTATCAGCCCATTACATCGGGCTTCCCTGTCGCATAGACGTCGTGATGTCACTCAAACTGTATCAGCCCATTACATCGGGCTTCCCTGTCGCATAGACGCCGTGATGTCACTCAACCTGTATCAGCCCATTACATCGGGCTTCCCTGTCGCACAGACGCCGTGATGTCACTCTAACTGTATCAGCCCATTACATCGGGCTTCCCTGTCGCATAGACGTCGTGATGTCACTCAAACTGTATCAGCCCATTACATCGGGCTTCCCTGTCGCATAGACGCCGTGATGTCACTCAAACTGTATCAGCCCATTACATCGGGCTTCCCTGTCGCATAGACGCCGTGATGTCACTCAAACTGTATCAGCCCATTACATCGGGCTTCCCTGTCGCATAGACGCCGTGATGTCACTCAAACTGTATCAGCCCATTACATCGGGCTTCCCTGTCGCATAGACGCCGTGATGTCACTCTAACTGTATCAGCCCATTACATCGGGCTTCCCTGTCGCATAGACGCCGTGATGTCACTCTAACTGTATCAGCCCATTACATCGGGCTTCCCTGTCGCATAGACGCCGTGATGTCACTCAAACTGTATCAGCCCATTACATCGGGCTTCCCTGTCGCAAAGACGCCGTGATGTCACTCAACGCAGCAACGTGTAACTCACTCACAGCATTTATACTCTCCCTCTCTCTCTCTTCCCTTCCTCCTTCTCTCCTCCTCTCCCCCCCTCTCTCTCCCTCTCTCCTTCTGATCTCCCTCTCCTCTCCTCCCTCTCTCCCTGTCTCTGTCTCTCTCTCTCTCTCTCTCTCTCTCTGTCTCTCTGTCGTCTCTCTCTCTGTCTCTCTCTCTCTCTCCCTCTCTCTCTCCTCTCTCTCTCCCTCCTCTCTCTCCTCCTCTCCCTCTCTCTCCTCTCATCCTCCTCCTTCTCTCCCCTCCCTCTCTCAACCTCTCCCTCCTCTCTCTCATCCTCCCCTCTCCTCTCTCCTCCTCCTCCTTCTCTCCCTCTCCTCTCTCTCTCTCTCCTCCTCTCCTCTCTCTCTCTCTCTCCTCTCCTCCCTCCCTCCTCCTCTCCTCTCTCTCTCTCTCTCTCTCTCTCTCTCTCTCTCTCTCTCTCTCTCTCCCTCTCTCTCTCTCTCTCTCTCTCTCTCTCTCTCTCTCTCCAGAAACAGTCCAGTCAGCCAGCTGCCCTGCTCCCCCGGTCCCGCAACGTAATATCAACTGATACCTCGGTATATAACAGTGCATAGTTGTCTTTTGAGGCGAGAGAAATACTAAATTATTCAACACATGTTGCAATTCATTGTCATATCGATTGATTATTCAAAAGTTGCGGCAGTTATTTATGATCTTGTCAGAGATTGTAGTCTGATAGTGATACTCTAACCGTCGACTACCGTAAGTCTATGTTACGGTATAGGAGGTACGACAGTCGTAGTGCTACGATAGCTTTGTGAAACAGTGCCCTGGTAGCAGAGGATAAGTCGGGGTTAAAGGCATTCTCTTCCCACAGAGGTTACTCAAGTCATATCTTCCCACCATGACTTGTGTAACCTGTGTGGGAAGAGACTGGGATAAAGGCTGGATGGGAAGGAAAGGGGGTGGGGATGAGGCTAGGGAGGGGTGGCGAGGACGGGGCGACGGTACTTGCGGTGTTGTACTGAGAATTTGGGTAACGATGACAACAATGAGGCAACTCGACACTGAAGAAAGCGTGGTCCACAGTGCGACCTTATTACACCTCCCGACGAACACAGTGATCACACAGGGTAATCTGAGCGTCATTATCAGTGTCCCTGAATAACGACCTGCACTCTCGACCCGACGTAATGGCTGTACACAGTGTCATCACAGGGCACTCTCCTGTCGCGCGATCATTAACTCTCGTGTGTTAATTACAAGCGTTGTCTTAATTATAACAAACATCGCAGTGAACCGCAGTCATCTAGTGGTTCCCCCTCCCAGTCGGTCAGTGGTTACCCCTCCCATTCATCTAGGGGTTAGCCCTCCCAGTCATCTAGTGGTTCCCCCTCCCACTCAGTTAGTAGTTACCCCTCCCAGTCAGTGGTTACCCCTCCCAGTCATCTAGTGGTTAGCCCTCCCATTCAGTTAGTGGTTACCCCTCCCAGTCATCTAGTGGTTAGCCCTCCCATTCAGTTAGTGGTTACCCCTCCCAGTCATCTAGTGGTTACCCCTCCCGGTCAGTGGTTACCCCTCCCAGTCAATGGTTACCCCTCCCAGTCAATGGTTACCCCTCCCAGTCAATGGTTACCCCTCCCAGTCAATGGTTACCCCTCCCAGTCAATGGTTACCCCTCCCAGCCATCTAGTAGTTACCCCTCCCAGTCAATGGTTACCCCTCCCAGTCAATGGTTACCCCTCCCATTCAGTGGTTACCCCTCCCAGTCATCTAGTAGTTACCCCTCCCAGTCAATGGTTACTCCTGCCAGTCAGTGGTTACCCCTTCCCGCCATCTAGTAGTTACTCCTCCCATTCAGTTACCCCTCCCAGTCATCTAGTGGTTCCCCCTTCCAGTCATCTAGTAGTTACCCCTCCCATTCAGTGGTTACCTCTCCAATTCAGTGGTTACCCCTC